ACTGCTCTGGAACCCACAGCTGGGCACCAGCTGATCTCAACTGCTTGAACAACAACTTGCATTTATACAGCCGCCTTCACGCGGAGCAGAGTCTCGGAGCGCTCAACCACTGTCCCTGCAGTCCAGATGATGAGTGTCCCCCATCACCCAATCTCCCTCACCCAAATGCCCACACCTAACCCAAACATCCCCACTCACCCGAACCAGCCCTCACCCAACTGTCCTCGCATCCCCCCTCCCCAACCACCCACCCAACTGCCCCCAAGTTTCCATCCATCTCCCTTTCTTACATCCCGATCGATTCCCCCTCCATGGCCATCCTGGGCTGTGTGTATTCCAGCCTCCACAGCACTCTGAGCGAGAATGTGATCCCTGATCTCACTTTTAAACAAGTGGCTTATCTCCAATTTTAACAAGTGGCTTATCCCCTTGTTTGGATGGGGGGGGGGGGGGGGGAGAAAGGAATATTTTGACGCTCCCTCTTCAACCTGGTCAGAGAGCTGGAGGCAGTTTACCCCAAATCCCAGGGATTACTTATTGTAAAATCGCCTCTGCCTGGCCAGGCTGCTGGCTACCTTGACTTCAGGCTTCCCATTTGTGTCTAAAGCCGTTTCATGACTTGTTCAAACTTTGAGCCTCTGGGGGGGGTCCGGGACCAGCCAGCAGTCTTGGCCAACTCCTCACCAACATCTTGCTGGCCTTTTTACGATTTTCCTGCTTCCAACCTTTGTTTGTTTTTGTTTTTCAGGGAGGGATTGGAAACAAATGTGAGTGAGGCTCTTTTTCTCAATTTAGCTTGTGGACTCAATGCAGTGTCCCTGGTTTGTACACCTGCCCTGTGCGATGTCACACAATGTCTCGAGCCCGCAGCCACCAATCCCACCCTCTACAGTTCTCGCCCCAAACCACTTTATCTTGTTTACCTCACATTGCTCTCAGAGACCCTCCGACTCGACCCCTCCTTCCCCACTTTCAAAGCTCGCTTCAGAATTTATCTCTTTGACCGCAATTTCAATCATCTTTATCTTTTCTACTCCACTTCATCCCCCCACCCCCACTGTGTGTCACCTGGCACAGTGGTAGCACTCTCGCCTCTGAGTCAGAAGCTTGTGGGTTCAAACCTGCATGTCAGTACTTGGAATCGCATAGTGTAAGCTGACACTCCAATGCAGCGCTGGGGGGGCAAGGGTGTGTTGTATTGTTGGAGGTGCCATGTATGAGACATTAAAATCGAGGTACTAGTTCTTATTCCAAAAAAGTGAAAATTGCAAGCGCATTCTGCAATTTTACTTTGAAAAGAATGAAAGCTTCCTCTCCCAGTCCTTTGATACTGTGTGTAATTGCTGGGCTGGTGTCTAATGGACTGACAACCAATGCAGGTGCAGCCTCTCCCCATCATTGTTGGGATTCTCTCTCACCAATAAAAAAAAGATTCCAGGTGGGAGCCATTAGCCAAAATTGCTTGCTTAGTAGCAAACTTCTGTCCCATTATGTTATAAAGAGAGAAGTGTATCGCAGCCAAGCGCTGCCTAATGTCTGCCACCTGGAGCCTATTGGTTCTCAAGCACCACAATCAAGGAGGAAGAGAAGGGGCAATTTTCACCGCTGAACGGGATTAACGGAAAGGCAAGAAAATTGGAAGCAAAGAGATTATTAAAATCTCTGGCAAAGTTTTTTTTAACTCCTTGGGGAGTCTGAGGTTCCCTGACCATGGATGGGATTTCCCATTACAACAGGAAAAAGACTGATCCCCATAATCCGTTAGGTAACATGTTCTGGGATGTCAACCCTTTTAATGGGAGTCAGGAATCGTGTGGTGCTCAGAGGACTAATGGCACATAAAGCTATGGTGGCCCTGGTGCATCTAATCTGTTGTTCCCAGTGGGCTGACACTTGAGTAGGCCTGAGTGAGCTTCAACTCCAGTACAGCTCTCTCCCACAAACAGCCGCAAGAGGAATGACCAATTTTACCTTGGGCATTGTCAGGACACTGAGAGGAAGAAACACCCTTCGCATTTCCAATGGTGACACGGGCTCAAACGCTCCAAGATGCTACCCACAGGAAGGGGACTATACAAGTGCAAGATTTTGTTGTTGTTGATCTTTTAACGTCCACCTGAACTGGACCCAGACAGGACCTTAGTTAACATCGCATCTGAAGAATGTCACCTCTGAAATACGGTGCTCCCCAATAATAATCCTTGCATTTGATACAGTATCCTTATCATATCTTTGAAATGTCTCAAAGTGCTTCACAGAATATACTGTAAAGTGTAGTGACTGTATATTTTGTGGGCAAAACACAATGCACTGCACTGTCAGTGACCATTATAACTCATATCGCGGAATCTAAATTACCCATGTTTGTAACCAGGAAATTCGGGCACTTTCAGCTGTCCCTGTAGAATGCCGGATCACCAACATTTGGGAGCAGGTTCTGACCACAGAGCTATTGAACCCGTCTCTCTCTTTCTTTGACTGTTTCTGTCCCATTCTACGAATCTCCAACTATCTATTTGTGCCTCTCTCTCTCTGTCTGTCTCACTCTCTTACTCTCCTTCATTCTTCAACTCTCTCACTCCCTGGTTCTCTTTCTTTGACTCCCTCACTCTCTGTGTCTCCAGGGATCAATCAGATCTGAACACGCCTGGCTGGTCAAACACAAATATTTCCTTGCTGAACCCAGTGTAACTTGGACACCAGGGATTGAAACTGCTCATCCCTTGGACAACAACTAACATCATGACGTTAGATAGATCGAAGCCATGCTCTCAGCAACCCTGGGTTTATGTACTATCGAGGCCCGTGTTGGACAAGCTCTATAAAAATGCCAATAAAAATGAAACAACAATAAAAAAAACTGTTACGTTTCCAGCTCCTGAAGCGATCTTTCTTCCTTGATGTGATTTCATTGTTCTCCGAGTTAGTTCCATCTGCGTTACATTTGCTGACTTGAGCACAGCAACATGTGGCGATGGCCCAGAGCCAGACCTCCACAGCCTCCAAAATCACACAACCATCTTATAACACAACTCGCATTTCACATCTGGGAGTGTTCAACGCAGCCAGCTCTCCTTCCTGGTGGCATCATCTCAGTGTAGAGAGAGATCACACAGTGAGGGGTAGGGCAGAGACCACAAATGGTGTGGAGAAACGTTTTCATTCATCTCCCCAGAAGCTAAGCCAGTAGGTGGTGAATGGGACTGGATTTCCTCTATTAAATCCCTTACATTTTCTTGTTTTTAAGAGTCTGAATTCTCTCAGGTAAAATGGGATGGGTATTCCCGATCAGACAGGAAGGAAAAGGAGACAGGAAGAGAAAGAGAATAAAAGAGAACCGAGAGAGCCTCTCTTGTAGAGGCAACAGTGGACCTCACATCCCTGCTAATATCCTAGTGAGTCAATGCTGGACCTTTTCCATGCTTGGAAAGTGCCAACTTGGCTCATTTGGCTTCTAGCAAAAAGACTTGAGAAGTTACAATAGAATAGAAATTTACATTTATTATATAAAGCCCCTTTCCCGTCAGGAGGACGTTTCAAGGTGATTAACCCCCAAGCTGGAAGTGGGAGCTGTGAGGGGAAAAGTGACCAAAATCTGTCAGAGTGGTAGGTCTTGAGAATGGATCTTGGGACTAATTTCCATTGAAACTGAGAAAGTGAAGGTGTGGCCTGATAGAGGTCTCCAGGATTATTTACAAGCAGATCAATTCTCTCCACTAGTCGGTGAGTCAGTAACCACTGAGCAAGTGTTAGACAGTCCAACTATGATGACAAGCTAGGAAAAACAGAGAGAGCTATAGGACATGGGATTCTCTGCCACAAACCACAGTTGAGGCAGAGTCTGTATATTTTTCTAAAAGACAATTAGATTGGTAATAAATAATAGTAATGATCCTTACATTTGATGTAGTGCCTTATTACATCATTGAGATGTCTCAAAGAGCCTCACAGAATACACTGCAAAATGTAGTGACTGTGTATATTATGGGTGAAACACAGCAGCCAATTGCGCACAGCAGTGTCTCACTAACAGTCATGGATTGAGTGACCGACTTTTTTTTAACCCCCGGAAAATGATCTGCCCATCGGCTAACTTACTGCTCCTACTTACTGTTAAGTAAACAGGGGCATGCGGAGTAAGGAAACTTGCCTAAGCTTTTGCTCTGCCTCGGAATAAGTGCTTGAAGAGGAAGAACATTGAAGTGGGGGGGGGGGGGGGGGGAGAGTGAGAGAACAAGACGGGTCAGACCTGGTGTGACAGACGTCACAGAATCGTAGAATTATACAGCACAGAAGGAGGCCATTCTGCCCATCATGTTTGTGCCAGCTCTTTGAAATGAGCTATCCAAATCAGAAAACTTGTCCTCCCCAAATAATTACATCTAATACTGGAAAGTATAGAGAAGACATGCACAAGGCTGGCGTCTCGTTTTCGAACGGAAGGATAACTTATTAAACACCACAAATTACACGCCGCCATCTCAAATTCGTGAAAAGAAAGCAAAATGAGCAGATACGGTCACAAAATTATAAACAACTCCCACCACCCCTTCAGCCAACGCATTCCAGATCCCAACAACTCGCTGCGTGAAAACGTTTATCCTCCCCTTCCCCTTCCCCGCTCAGTATGTGGGCGCATCCCCTTCTTTTTCACCCACAAAACACACCGTCATGGAGTTGGTGTTGATGGCGGGAGGATGGCTGGCGTTGGCTGGAGGGGTAGAGAGTTCATTCCTCTATTAACTAATATCAATTAATTATTTTAACAAATTAAAGAAATATTCCTTAATCCCTCTGCCTTACCCCTTCCTTCAGTTCGTGCGTGAGGGACCGCTAAATAGATGCAACGTGTCGTCGTTGTTGTTGAGGCCCGAAGCCTTCGCGCGGCGGAACGCCCGAGACGGACGATTGCTTTGGCGCCAAAAGTGAGTGGGTGGGGGCGGTGATCACGTGGGTCGCGTGTGGTGTGTGATTGGTTGTTTTACCGCACGTGATGGGGGAGGAGCTACAGGGGTATGAGAAGCGGGTGCCGGAGCCTCGCCGCGCGGAGGGGGTCAGTCAGGAGGTGGGTCGCCATGTTTAAAAATTACCATCTGTGCCTTCATTACTATCTGTGCGTTATCGTTACCGTTTGCACGTGTGGTCTCCTGGTTTATACATTGCTCTGCTTGTTAGTTGATTGGCCAATGCACTTTATTCAGTGAAATGCTTTGAGACGTCCAGAAGATATCAAACGCCGGTGTGGTTGTCGGAGCCCCGGTCAGTCTCTTGGGGAGGGAGGGAGGGAGGGAGAGGATGTGTCTGTGTGTGCAGTTTGAGCAAAGTGCTGTGAGGTCTCTGTGCTCCAGGTTATTAATGTGGAAGTGCTGGTTTTGTGGCCAAGACCTCATTAAAAATGGGTCGTCTTTAACCGAAGTACTTCTCTAGTTTCTGTGAGTGTTAGCGGAGGCCTCCCGAGGTGGTGAGAGTCACAGCCCAGGATGAGGGGATGGACTTAATTGAATGGCTCGTGTCTGTTGCTCTGAGGATCTCTCTGTGTGAGAAGCCCGCGGGTTGTCTGCAAACCAACTCATTCTGCACACTGTGGCCAAGTCATTTTGTTGTAGAATAAGCATTATCCTGTAAGTATTAAGAATCATTGTAAATGCAGCAATGCTGATCTCAGTGGCTCTTTGGTCGTGCTCTCGCCTCCGAGTCAGAAGGTGGTGGGTTCAGGCCCCCACGTCACAATGTCCAAGCTGACGCTCCAATGTGGCGCTGGGAGGGCGTTGCATTGTCAAGAGGTGTTGTTCTTCGGATTGGTGTCAAACCGAGATCCTGTCTGCCTGTTCAGGGGTCAAAGATTCCACGGTACTATTTGAAAAGAAGGGAGTTTCTCCCAGCGTTCTGGCCAACAATCTACTAAATAAAAAAATTGGTCACTCACTCCGTGGCTGTTTGGGAGACATTGCTGTGCGCAATTCTTTGCCGGGTTTGCCCACAAAATACACAAGTCAATTCACTTTACAGTATTTTTCAAAGAGGTAACGGAGAGGGTGGATGAAGGTAGTGCAGTTGATGTAGTTTATATGGACTTTCATAAGGCATTTGGCAAAGTACCATATAAAAGAAATGTAAGAAAAATAGAAGCCCATGGTATAAAAGGGACAGTGGCAGCATGGATCCAGAACGGGCTGGGAGACAGAAAGCAGAGAATTGTGGTGAACGATTGCTTTTCTGACTGGAGGGAAGTATACAGTGGTGTCCCCCAAGGATTGGTATTGGGACCACTGCTCTTAATATGTATAAATGATCTGGACTTGGGTACAGCAAGTACCATTTCCAAGTTTGCGGATGACACAAAGTTAGATAGGATAATAAACAGTGAGAAGGATAGTAGCCAACTGCAGGAAGACATAGAATAGTAAAATGGGCGACTGGTAATACAATCTTAAGGGGGGTAAAAGAACAGAGAGACCTGGGGGTGCAGGTAACTGAATCCTTGAAGGTGGCAGGACAGGGAGATAAAGCTGTAAAAAGGGCATATGGGATACTTGGCTTTATAAATAGGGGCATAGAGTACAAGAGTCGGGAGTTTATGATTAACCTATATAAACACTGGTTAGGCCTCAGCTAGAATACTGCGCCCAGTTCTGGGCACCACACTATAGGAAGGATGTTAAGGCATTGGAAAGGGTGCAGAGGAGATTTACGAGGATGGGACCAGGAATGAGGGACTGTGATTATGAGGAAAAGCTAGAGAGGCCGGGATTATTCTCATTGGAGCAGAGAAGGTTACGAGGAGACCTAATAGAGGTCTTCAAAATTATGAGGGGATTTGATAGGTTAGAAAGGGAAAAACTGTTTCCACTGGTGGGTGTGTCGGTGACTTGAGGTCACAGATTTACAATAGTTTCCAAAAGAAGCAGAGGGGAGTTGAGAATTTTTTTTTAAACGCAGCGAGTTATTCGAATCTGGAACACATTGCCTGAGAGGGTGGTGGAGGCCAATTCGATAACTTTTAAAAATGCGGTGGATGGGTATTTGAGGAGGACGGGTTTGCGGGTTACGGGGAAAGAGCTGGGGAGTGGGATTGACATTACGTTGCTCTTTTCAAAGAGCCGGCACAGACTCGATCGGCCGAACGGCCTCTTTTTGTGCTGTACGATTCTATGATTCTATCCTGTGAAGTGCTTTGAGATGTCTTGATGTATTATTATTACTACACTATAGATTGCTACAGAACACAATCCTGGAATAGCTTCACCGCAGCCCACCTCCAGAATAAATCGAAAAGGAGTTAGCATCCAGTCTGATATAACAGAGGCAGGTGTACATTGGTAAGAAAGAGGAGTTAATAAACATTAATCTCCTTGGTCATTCAACAGGTGGTGATGGGATTCATGTGGCTTGGAGTTGAACTGGCCCAAAGGTGACATGTCTCGAAATGGAATTTCGGAATCAAGCCGGGTCTCTGACAGTCTCTATTCCGATTCCTGAGCCAGGCAGGTCCGCAGTATTCTTTGGTACTCCTGATGACAGCCCATGCTCGGGAATTTTAAGCTTGGTTTGGGTACTCTTAAGCATGGTGATGGGTTTCTGCGTGTGTCAGACACCCGGCTGGCCAAAAAGTCAGGGTCGGCTCACACTGTGCTGATCTTGCTCTTTTTTTTCTTTCTCCCTTTCGCTTTCATTCTTTCTCTCTCTTACTGTCTTTTGCTCGCTCACACTCTTGTGTGCTCTCTTGCACTTTCTCTGACTCTCGCTCACACCTTCGCTCGCACTTTCTCTTGCACTTTTTTTTCTCTACATACTTTCTTTTTTTTCTCTTTCCCTTATTGTGCCTGAAGACCTTCCTCTTTGACCGTGCCTGCAGTCACCTCCCCCTGGCTGAACGTCGTGCTAATGCCACTGTCAAGCACTCTGCGACTCTACCCTGCATTGTTGTTATTTTGACACGCTTGATCTCTCACTCACAATTCCTCCTAACCAAAAAAAAACCAAGAGTCTGGAAATAGCAAACTGCTAACATGGTTAGTACTGGCCTTCAAACAGCAGGGGAAAATTGAACGCAGGCTTCTGGGTTGGCAAACCACAGTGATTTGTCACTCGTCATAAATAATAACGGACATCATTATCCAGATAGAAGCTCATCCATCCCGTCAAGGCAAGTGAATGTTTTACCCGCTTGTAACCTCTATAAAACAAGGCATAAATGTGCACATGGTGTCCGTCAAAGGTAATAAGAAGGTAGGGGAATAAGTGAGGTCTCATTCATTTTAGGGGCCCAATTGGAATGAGTGGTGCTCACGTTTCAAACAGTAACACACACACTACTGCTTTGATTCCGGACAAACTAATCATTTGCAGATGTATGGTATGGCTCTGAAGTGAGATGGACAACATGACTATTTCTACAGTTATCACACCAAAGAAAAAATAGAGAATGAAAAAGGGGAAAACCCAAATCCGTTCCTACTTCAATCCTCGTGCGTTCTTTGTTTAAGAGCTGGATCTCCTGATTCCACTCCTCTCCTTGGCTCGGTATTGTGTTACTCATCAGAGGACCAAAAGGGCATTTGCTCAGATGTTCTGATTGATCCAAGAGTATCCATGGAAAGTGCAGTGTGTTACTTTTCAGTGCAAGTTCCCCTCCCATGTGACCATGTGTTTTTCAGTGCCTCCCAGCTACCTGAGCCTTTGGCAAGAGACCGAGTCTGAGGTTTAAATCACCTGTGTCAGGGATCCTGTCAATTTGCCTGATGCTCACCCACCCTCCTCATTCCTTACCTCACTGCAGATCCCCCTACTGGAGAGGTCATGTATGTAAATCTGCAGAAATAACACCCTTGCAGTTACGGTAATCAGTGCTCAGTGTGTGTGGATTATCCCTTTTCATTGTCTGCCAGCGGGGAGCTAGAACCGGCACAGGCATGTTGGGAAGAGCAGGGAATGGGATTAGACAATAACTTGCATTTATGTAATGCCCGGCACATGGGCTAGTGTCCCGGAGTGCTTTAAACTACAGAGCTCCAGTGGCGAGTCAGCAGGGAATGGGATTAGAGCAGAGATCTCCAATGGGGGAGCGAGCACCAGCACAGACACGACGGGGAGAGAGCTCCAGGACAGATCTTGCACTGAAAATTCTGTCATTTTACCAATTATAAAATATATAGAGCAAAACAAGCTTGGAAGGGCACTGTTTGGGGTGGGTGAGGGGGTCAGTATTGGACCTATTCCCTCTTGTCTGTGCCAGGGTGTCAAAAGAGATACTGAAAGTACAGTCTGTGACTGAGTATAGCTTGGCTGAGAGCTTTGTTTTCCTTTTAATAAGGAGCCAGGCGGCAAAGGGCTTGGCACTTTGGAACGGTGACACCTTTAATGCACAACAAATGTGTGAAATCTAAAAACCAATATGAAAAAATAATGTTGACCTTCAAAAAGCTGAGATAGAGGCCACTATGTACAGCGCAGGCCATTCAGCCCATTGAGTCTGCCCCAGTTCTCAGAGCAAGCTGTCCATTCAGTTTCACTGCCCTGCCTATCTCCACACTCCTTCAAGCCTCTACCTTTCAGAGAAATCCTTCCCTCCTCAAACCTACAGTGGACTCCACCTTTACCCAACAATTCTGATTGAAAACATTTCATGCAAGCACTTCTTTTCTAACTCTGGTCTCCAGCTTTGGATGCTTTTCCACATTTTTTTAATATATATATATTAAAAAAGCCAGCTTCTGAAGTGTCAGGCGCTGACAGCATCAGCATCCAAGGCTGCACTCTCAATCTCTCAAAGCCGGTCAGGAACCTCGGGGTTCTGTTCGCCCCTGAGCTGTCCTTTCTTCCTCATATCCGCGCCACAACTGGCACCGCCTTCCATCACCTCCGAAAATTCGCCAGACTACGGCACTACCTCAGCCCTCACACGGCTGAAACTCTGGTCCACACCTTTATCACCTCAAGGCTGGACTATGGGAACTCTCTCCTCGCCGGCCTTCCCGGTACCTCCCTCCACACTGCAGGTCATTCAGAACTCTGCAGCTCGTGTACTGTCTGTCCCGCACCAGACACCGCGACCACATCACTCCCACCCTCGCCCTCGCCCTCGCCCTCCTCCACTGGCTCCCCATCCCCTAGAGGATCGAATTCAAGATCCTCATCCTCACCTACAAGGCCATTCACGGCCTTGCTCCCTCCTACCTCTCCGACCTACTATCCCCTACCTACCTCCCCTACCCTCCGTTCCTCTGGCTCCGGTCTGCTCCACATCCCCCGCCCCAACCTCCCTACCATCGGTGGCCAGGCCTTCAGCCTCTCAGCCCCGAGGCTCTGGAACGCTATCCCCCAGTGCCTCCTCCCTTTCCTCCTTCAAGGCCAGTCTCAAGACCTTTCTCTTTGACCGTGCCTTCAGCTCCCTTCACGACTCTCTACCCCCTCCTCGCTCCCTCCCTCCCCCTGACCATTTACCCCCCTGCTCGGGTTCTGACCCAACTGTACAGCACCTTGGGACATCCTCCCGACGTGAAAGGCGCTCTATAAATGGAATCTTGTTGTTGTTGAAGAATTTTCCACAATTCTGCGTCGCTGTAAGGCGAGGTGGTCTCCCAGGGTGAGACTAGGTGGAATTGGAGGGCTCTGGAGTGTGCCTTTAATGATTGGACAGAAATCTCCTATATTTCAGGATGCTCAGACAGGACTTTGCCTGGATGAACAGCACCTGCTCCACTGGTTTTCACGGCCTTGCTCCCTCCTACCTCTCTGACCTACTATGCCCCTACTTATCTGCTTGTGTTCCTCTGGCTCCGGTCTGCTTCACATCCCCCGCCCTAACCGCCCTACCATCAGTGGCCGGGCCGTCAGCCTCTCAGCCCCTAGGCTCTGGAACTCCATCCCCCAATGCCTTTGCCTTGCTCCCTCCCTTTCCTCCTCCAAGGCCGGTCTCAAGACCTTTCTCTTCAACCGTGCCTTCGGCTCCCCTCTCGAGACTCTACCCCTCCTCATTCCCTCACCCTGACCATGTCCCCCATGCTCGGGTCCCAACCCAACTGTCCAGCGCCTTGGGACGTCCTCCCGACGTGAAAGGCGCTCCATAAATGAAGTGTTGTTGTGGTTTGAATGAAACCTCAGGGCTCATGAATGATCTATTGTCCGAGTTATATTTGTTAATCTCAACACCGAGTGGCATCATCCACATTGGGACGTCCTCCTGATGTGAAAGGTGCCATAAAAATGTATTTGTTTGTTGTCCACAAAAGCTGAAAAGGATCAAATCTAACAGCAATATTTTTAAACATCTCTTTCCTTTCTGAGTAGAGAGGGACAATGCTCTGGAGCGAACGTTGCTGAGATGGAAGAACAGAACAATTGATAATAAACCCGGCATACATTGCTTGCGTCGTCTCAAAGCGTTTCACACAGACCTTGGCTTAGAGTCTCACCAACAATGTCATGCTCCCTCCAGCACTTGCACTGGAGCATCAGCCTGGATTGCGAACCCAGAGTAAAGTGTAGTGACTGTATGTGACATGGGAGGCACCTTCACCTAAGTGCATTTTTCTCTCTCTCTTCCCCCCCCCCGGTAACTACATTGTTACATCGCCTGCATCGTCTTAAAGCGCTTCACTTGGAATTGCTTTGAGATGTCCTCTCGAAGGCAATGTGTATTGAATTTGGTCAGAGACTCAGATGATCAATTGTGGTGTTGGGTGCGAGTTAAAGGAGAATTGACAGAAACTCACTGTGAGGTCAGCCGGGTTGTAAATCCTTTTAAACCAGAACAGTTTAGCAGGAAGGCATGGGTGGTGAGGAAATAAATATTAGCAATAGACGCCTTTGCCCTACAAAAACAATCCAGCAAAATACACATGGCTGGCTGGATGGGGGCACTCAGCAAAGGGGAGGCGTGGGAAGGAGGTGGATGGATTAAGAGAGGAAAAGGGAAAAAAAAGGCACACAAAATAGTCTCCTTTGCATTTACAAATAGAATAATTCCTGGTTTTGATTTAGTTTTGACAGTTTGATTTAGTTTTGACAGTTTTTCTCCTTTAAAACATAGTTGTGTTGGTTCCGAATGAATGGGTCTCACTACTGTACCACGTCCGTCAGTATTACTTTTTTTAAAAAGAAAAAAGAAAATAAAGATTTGTTGTGTTTGGATACAGAAAGTGCAGCCTAACCCGGGATTTGGGGGCATTTTATTCAAAAGAGAGTTTATTCCGAGCCCCCTGTTTCCCTCCTCCGGCGGATATTTGAGAATCTTGGGTTTTAGCAGGATAAATAGCTCAGAGTTTCCCCTTGGAACGGACAGAATTCTAAATACTTCTCCAAGGAACATAAACACTGAGGGATATCATTCCTGCCTCTCTTTTTCAGGCTGACGGGAAAAAAAATTGCTGAGTGCTCCTAAAAACCTGCCGGCGACATGTTAACCCTTTCTAAGCCCACACTTACACTAGATTTAGGCTTTATGACCCCAGTTAGGCTGCACCCGCATTCAATAAAACTTCATTTTAATTTACATTTGGAATAGCACCATATCATGTTGAAATGTCTCAAAGAGCTTCATTGTTTTTCTGTAAAGTGTAGTGACTGTCTATTCTGTAAGCCAAGTTGCAGGTTGCAATGTCCCACCAACAGATTCATTGGTGTTTTTACTTTTTACTCAAAAATGTTCTGCAATTAAACCATCACTACAGGAAAAGTTACATTTTATTTATTAGAATACTTTGCAATTGTTTCTTTTTTTTTGAAAATTATATCTGAAGATCTCAAATGGCTGAGTCTGGGGGGAAAAAAAAACTGAACACAGCAGATCCGTCCACTGCCGTCTCTGGCCACTGGAACGTGACACCAGCTGGAGAAGTGGCTCGTTGGGAGAGAAGAGAGAGAGAGAAATGGGAGAGAGAGGGAAGAGTAGAGAGAGGGGGAGAGAGAAGAGTAATGGGGAGCAGAAAGAGAGGGGGGGGGGAGAGAGAGAGAAAGGGGAGAGGAGAAGAGAAAAAGGAGACGGGAGAGAGGGAAAAGGGAAGCCGAAAGGGGAGCGGAGAGTAGAGAGAGCAGGAGTGTGCAGCGTTGTGCTGAATGACATGCCTTCTGAGGACATGGAATTCTCGAGCTGAGTGTTCTCTCTGACGAGCTGTACGGGGCTAATCCTTCGGTGTAGCAACTTTAGCTGTATTTTTTTCCCCCTGGCTTCCTCTTCTTTTCCTCCACTCCCCTACTGCAAATAAAACCATTTCCTGTCAAGCTACTTTGCGGTAGATTTAATGAGTATTTTTTTTAATGTTTTCTCACATGGTGGAATGTCAAAGTGAGGCAAGAAAAATCCGCCAAAAATCCACTGTTTAGTGAAAAGGAACGTTAGTAGTTGTATCTGAGAGGCGATACTTTGCTTAGAGTTATAATAATAATCCCTGCATTTGATTCACCAAGGACGTCTCAAAGTGCTTCACAGGATTTACTCTAAAGTGCAGTGACTGTATACTTTGTGAGCGAAACACGGCAGCCAATTTGCCACAGCCACGTCCCACAAACAGCCATGAAGTGATTGACCAATTTTATCTGAGGGATTGTTATTAATAATAATTTTGCTTTTGATACAGTGCCTTTCACGTCTGGAGCGCATCTCAAAGCACTTCACAGGATTTACTGTGAAGTGTAGACTGTGTTTTGTAGGCGACTCTTAACACTGCATCTGGAGCTTCTCATCCTGCTGTCCTGCTGTCCACCCAGCACTGTCCTGGAGTGTCAGCCTGGACTGGGAGCTCCACAGTGCTGACATGGACACTTGAAACATCAACTGAGTGGTGTGATTTCAGCCATTTCTCGGGGAAAATAAAGAGAGACGCGCGGAAAGAGTACCACACTGACTGACCGCGGTGGGAAACTCAATGGGATAATTTTCTTGTCACAATTTCTTAAAAACACTAAAGAAAAAGCAGATTGAGTACAAGATAGCCAAGGGCACACCTAGGCGGGGCTTCCAATGTAGTCAGAGTCCAGTCACACCCCATTCCTATATTTACAGACAGTTACACAAACAGTTACAGCATGGAAACAGGCCGCGTTGGTGTTCACATTTCACATGAGCCCCCACTATTGCCCTCTCTATTCTCTTTCCTTCCCATGTCTGCATCAAGTTTGCGTTTATATGTGGATGCTTTTTGCTTCAACCAAAGCATTGCATAATTCACTTGGTCACTCACTTACTCACTCACTTGTTCTCTTGCTCACTCACAAAGTTTGACCTGTTGAACATTTTGATTTTAATAAGGGACTCGGCCACGCACCATTTTAAAAAGTTAGGTATTTGGTTTACAAATTCACTTTAACATAGAAGCAAATGTTTAATACACGGCCGTTAGCAACAATTGCAAACAAACCTTTTTTAAAAAAAAGGTTCAATCTAGATATCGGGCTCTTCCCCTCCTGCACCTCTTACTTTGCCCCAGAACAACAGCAAAAGGTTATAAAGCCAGTCACCAGCTCACCTACACCAGCTCAATCAGGCATTTCTTAACGGATACCTTAATAAATGGGTAAACTATCCCATTTCCAAACCTGTGAGTGTTCTGAGCAACACATCCAATTTTTTTTCCCTCAACTCAAGAACATTATTCGATATTTCAGACGTTTATTAATCACGTATTTCCTATTAAGAAATCTGCTAAGAAATGCCGCACACTAGACCCAACAGACGTCAAGTTAATAGGTTCAGGGTGTAAAGGTATGTATGGACTGAGTCTGGTTAATTGTCACAGTTGTGAATTCTGGTAACTGTTCAGACCCAGAGCTTGGGTTGTCCCATGACATCCCCTCCAGGCTCACAAGTGATAGCCACCTGTGTATTGATGGCCAGCATGGCTGGGGTGGAGGCGGGTTAGGGTGGGGTGGGACAGGTCAATGCACAGTGGACGAGGAGTTGAAGGAGCCGGGGATGGGAAGAAAGCGCTCATTTTATTTCCAGGTTTTTCTTGCATCACTTCTGTGCAGGATGTGAGATGAATACAGTGATGAGTGGCTGTGACTAGTGGTTGCTTGCTTTGTACAAGAGATGTATAGGAGGAAACTTCATCTCCTCCCCTCCCCCACCATCTGTCTCTGTATATGTGTGTATGTGTAAGGTTGCTCCAAGTTGGGCAAAGCTGGATGGATCCTAGCAGAAATTTCCATCGACTCCAGGACCACTAAAAAGATAATTGAATTGGCTCTGAGCTGGTAACACGAGACTTTCTGGAACTCCTGCCCTCTCGAGCTCAGCGTCAACCCCAATTCCCCTTCCCTCCCCCTCAGTCTCGGAATTGCTGGGTCCTGACACAGTCCCCCCACTGTGAGCTAAACGGCAGTGATGGGTGGGTGGACTGAGCACAGTGTAGTGTGGATTACAGTAGCACGTAGCATTGAATCATCAATTAGATTCTTGGCTTTCATATGGCTCCAGTGGAGGAACGTGCCATCTGGAGGGAGCACTTGGGAGCCAAGTAATAAATGTGGTTGGCTCCAAAGTGGCGGCTGAGCTGAGTGACTTCTCCAGCCAGGGCTGGTACTTGCCTTGATTAGTGCCGTGATTCCCTTTGGCTACCAGCCATTATTCGCGTTTAGAAAAAAAACTCGCTACCAGTGACCAGCCATGCTTTGATAGCGAATGACGTCCCCAGAAAACCAAACTGCCTCTCCAACAACCCCCTCAAAGATGGTCCAAGCCCCACGCTCGCTCTGTCACCGAGTGCCCGTTACATCAGGACCTCGTGCTACCTGCAACCACAAGACTCTACGACCATGTCCTCGTACTGTTTATACACCACGTTGTTGGCAGAGTCTATGTATAAAATACTGATGGGACTCAGTTTTGTGGGGACACAGCAGCTTGGTGGAGTGGACTCGGGATCCATGGAATTCATTAAGGTCTGGATAATGGCGTGGTTTGTAGGCTCGAGATGGGAGCGCAGGGGGAAATCGCACACACCCTCACAATGGTAAGCTTCGTAGTCTAATGGGGCAATGATCCAGTCGTCCCAGCCCATCTCCTTAAAGTTCACGTGGAGAGGTCGCCTTGTGCATCTTGGCTTGGGTTTCTTGCCTTTGGCCGGGCGGGACGTGTGGGGGGCTCTTCTCTTCCTCCTCTGGTTGAACAGGAAATCATAAACAGTCTTGTCGTCCTGCCCGGACCTGGCTTTCACTTCATTGAAGAACAGGTCCCGTTTTCTGGTCCTACCAGACACTAACAGAAGAGCTTTCTCTTTGGGTTGGCGCCCGGCTCTGCCAAAACCCAAACTTCGCACATCCACTGTCCTCCCCCTGTCCAAGGCTTCCAGCTCAAAGCACAGCTGAGTCAACTGCTGCTCCTTCCTGTAGTTTTTGAAGAGCTTCCAAATATTAAACACTTCCCATTTCGGCCCGTCTAGGATGTCAACAGAGCGGGAGTCTATCACCACTAGTTTCTGTCTGTCTGCAAGGCAGTTGGATAATCTAAGACTGTACACACTACCCGGAGTTTGAGTTCTCCTTGGGTCAGTTATCTGTGTCCTCAGAATCCGGAGCTCTGCGCCCAATAAGCCATCCGTCTCCAAGGCACTGATGTTAAAGATGTACTTCTGTTTCCTCGCATAAGGAAAAGCTTCATCTGAAAAACAAGAGATGATGTGTTAGTTAGTCTTTGCCTTTTGTTACTCAGTTTTATCGGAAACCGGAGGAAAAAGTGGTTTTGTTCAATAAATATATACAATACACACATCACTACACTTTATGGTAAAATCCTGTATAGCGCTGTGTAATGTCCTCCCCACGTGGAAAGCACGGTATCAAATGCGAGGATTATTTTTTATTATGTAATAAGCTCCACAATACCTAAGCCAAATGCACTGTAGCCTCCAAAGCTACCTTTCCCATGTTAGTGTCATCTCTCACCTGTCTCTGTTAATGATGAATTTACAATCTGTTAATTCCATAGTGACTGGAATACACCTGTAACCGTGTTGAGAGGTTTTAGTTTGTGCTGTTCAAATAAAGCTCCTGTGGCTGTGGCCCCAGACATATGAGATCCTTATTCAGGTCTCTAAGTGCTGGAGAGTAAACATCAACTGTGCCGGATACAGTCACTGAGCAAAGTGGTTAAAGAGAACTGAGAGGGTAAGTTCAAGTTAATCAAACATTTTAAAAAGAAAATATCAAACTTCATGCTGTTTGGAGTCTGTTTACTGTAGTAAGTTTCTGGGGGAGGGAGGGGAGGGGAAGCAGACCAGCCAGCCAGCCCACTTCCCAAAAGATTCCTTCGGACATCCAACAACAACAATAACAAATTCACATTTATATAAGCGTCCTTCACGTCGGCAGGATGTCCCTAATAACTAATAAGATGGAATTATTTTCATTCTCAGGAACTTGTTTGGTTCTTTTTTGAAACCCTTTAACATTTCCAAGTCACTAGAAGCAATGAGAGAGAACATCTGAGTGTTACATCTCGTCCAAAGGACAGCACCTATGAACTTACAGCACTCTCCCCTCCCCTTACCCCCACCCCGAGTTTCAGTTTGGATCATGAGCTGTATGTCTTGGTGCGGGGCTCAAGTCTACAACCTTCTGACCCACATGTGAGAGTGCTACCGACTGAGCCAAATTGACACACCATGAATCACGGTCCTCAAGAGACTGGGGTGGAGAGACGAATGCAATGAATGTTCCAGCAATGGACATGTGTTTAAATGAACAACTCAGGAACTTACCCAATGCTTGACCCAGTGACTAGACTACTGAGGCTTATGGTTTGGACTCAGTGAAATATGCACATAAAGTAGTGGAGGTTGAACATTGCGTCTTGCGAGCCTTCAAATAGCTTGCTGCATTCAAACACCAATGATATTTGCACCTTCGAGTGTTTGGTTAGCAACATGTGACATTTATTTACTTGCTGTTACTGATATAACAATGCTAATTCCCACATACTGTGAGTTGGGAACATGTACACATAACTGCTGGCTATCCGAGCTGTGGGAACATACAATTCCAGGAAGGTGGAGCGGGGAATTGGGTTTGGGACTAAGCTGAGCCACTAAGTACTTGTTTACAAAAGGGCATTACAGAGACCCAGTGTTAGGCCCAGAATTTCACCTAGTCTTAGACTTTAGACGTTGAATATTTAAGGTCACACGGCATTGGAGAAAATTCTTAAATTCAGCAAAATTGTGCAATTTTTTAAAAAATTCTAAGAACTTCAGAACAACAGCTTTTTTTAAAAAATGAATGTTCCACAATTCTGCGCCACTGTACATCTTTCAAGACAAAATAGTCTCAAGAGCTAACACCAGGTGGAATTTCAGGCCTTGTGTCCAGGCAGGGTCCATAGCAAGGAAGAGAGGGGGTGGAGAAGTCAAAGTGAGTTGGTTGTTGTGAACTGTAAGTTATTACTAATCTGTGTATCCGGTATTTTGAATATCGTATTTCGAGTATAAAATGCTTATTCTATTTTACATTGAAAAATTATTGGGCGTGGAAACAGAATTAGTAACTTGGTCAACAACAACAACTTGCATTTATATAGTGTGCCTTCATGTGGGTAGCATCTCGGAGCGCTAAATTAATAGGAATAGTATGCATTTATTGACCGATTGTCTAACGTGCCTTGTGCTCGAGTTTGAGCCACAGCTGCTGGATGATAACCTAACAATAATAATCCTCACATTTGGTAATCACGTCATCAAAACGTCTTCAAGTGCTTCGCAGGATTTACTGTAAAGTGTAGTGACTGTGATGTAGGCAGACCGGATAGCTGTTTGCTTGGTTTGGAGTGTTAGTCGATTGGTGGATCACTTTCCGATGGTAATAATCCCTCTAAAATAATAATAATAATTTGATCACTCAATCCATGACTGTTTGTGGGACACTGCTGTGCGCAATTGTCTGCCACGTTTCTCTCACAAAATATATAGTCAATCCACTTTAGAGTATATCCTGTGAAGCGCTTTGAGACGTCTTAACAACGTGATAAGGCGCTATATAAAATGCAAGGATTATAATTGATATTATTTGGAAGTGTACATGGCCGGTCACATTTGCCCCTAATGGTGCCAATCAATGACTTCTGTACCAACCTTGCTACGGTGCCTAAAGATATCCAGGGATGGTGACGTCTCACAGGAGACCTTATTTAAATGAGCTAAATGGGATGAGAAAGTAAACCCAGCACAATACACTGGGCAACAGAACAAGACAAGGCTCTTCACACAGAGGGAGAATTGACTGGAAGAGGATGACTGAAAAAGAATTAATCACTGGAAGTCGGACAAATTTAGGAAACCGCTCGATGCTATAGCGAGAGGACGGTAGGTTGAGTATTCTGGAGAGATCAAATGGGCTGGAAGGTCTTCATCAGAAGCTCCCTTGGTAGCTGAGTTTCTGAGCATTTGATCAACATGATGACCACACCTGAAGGAACTCTTGTTTCAACCTTGTTAAAGTGGCTTGCAAGACAATTATTCCACTTAAAATATCTTTTTAGTGAACTTTAGAACAAAAAGACTTGTGTTTAGCGGCAGAAGAATTTCTAACCTCTCCTCAAAGACAAACCCTTCCAATCTAGAACAAAGCCATTTGGTCTGTGGAATACTATTTTAGGAAGGATCAGATCAAGTGGCCCAAAGATCTTGTGACCTTGCCATCGTCCTTTGAATGATACAAAAGAACAGTCAGTGCTCAAAAGGCATTAACTAATTGATTCTTGTGCAGTGTGTGATTCAATGCCGATGTTCTGTGGCTCAATTTGCCATTCTTCCTTGTGGTGCAAACCCTTTGCACAAATATTCCTTAAGAGCAAAGAGGCTGCTTTGAGGGAGCATCGGATGGAGTCCGCTGGGCAACAAATCTCTGGGGTGCCAGTCTGTTGACCTATGAGTCACTGGTTAACACGTCATGACTGTCCATATTTTAGGACAAAGGACAAACAAAGAGACAATTGCGTAATCCGTGGATATTCAGATGATTTTGCTAACCACAAAAACAAATCCAGGGAACACTGAGGACCAGTGCTCCGTCAGCCCATAGTCACACCATCCAGTTCTTGTTTTCTACTCTTGTCTATTACTGGAACCTGAAGATATCTGGGAAAGTTAGTCATATTGTGCATTATAGCCTCACTTCTCTTTACCTCTCTCTCTCTAGAACAGTATATGGGGAACTTGCAATTGGAATTGGAGAGTCTAACTTTAGAAATGATTAGGAAAGTAATGCTAACTCCCTGAGCTTGATATGTGGCAGTCTATAGAAATGTACTATTGACACCTAGAGGCAGAAGAGATGTACTGCAATGATGATCATGCATGTAATAGTAGCTCGCATGTCACATTCCTGATTCCTATCGATCCCCGCTCCCCGCTCACATGGAGGTGTGTGTGTTTGGGGGTGGGTGGGGCGATCAGGGCAGGGGAAGGATTGGAGTTTCTCAGATAAACGGCCATTGTCCAGGCTTGAGCCCAAGGGATGTACCAGGAGGTGACGGGCGCTCATGGAACCTTACAGAGAGCAGTGCTCTCCGTTCTCTAACCGGATTTGCCCACAATATGCAAATTTTACATTCAATCCTTCTGACTTTTTTGGGGTTAAAAGAACAGGTGCCAAACCTGTGTTTGTGTTCATGGAACAGCTGTAACCACTTGAGCAGTCAGTCTGGAAGAGACATTAGACATTGCACACAAGGTTGCGATGTTTCCTGAGATTTCCTCTTTTTTAATAAAAAAAATTGCAGCCCACAACGCTGCAGCCTACAGACCTGCAACCTAACCTACCCTTTTTGCATGACTGCTTTTAATTCTAGTATTATTAATAATAATATTTGCATTTGATATTGTGCCTTATCATGTCGTTGAGACATCCCAAAGTACTTCACAGAACATATTGTAAAGTGGATTGACTATTTATTGGCGAAACACAGCAGCCAATTGCACAAAGCAGTGTCCCACAAACAGTTGTGGATTGAGTGACCATTTTTTTTTGAGGAATTATTACTCCGAAACGCGATCTGTCAAATGACTAACAACCAGGTTCCTATTTACTGCTAGGTAAACAGAGGCATGTGGAGTAAGGAAACTTGCCTAAGGTTTTGCCCTGCCCACGAATCAAACCTGAGTCCTCTCGCTTGTGAGGTGAGCTCGCTAACCATTTGGCTACAGAACTCTGCTTTACAGCACAGTCTCTCCAACACGTTGTCTGAACAGGAGAAGGTCTTTTTGGCTCTGTGTTGACGTCTAGAATCCGGGCGGAATAGCGTCTGGTCGGGAGTGAGTAATGAGGTTCTTTGTGTGTCCCGGTGGTGTGTGTGTGATGATGTCACCCCCCCCATTAGAAGGGGGGCTCAGAGGTCCCTCAAACCACATCTGATCCTGACATTGCTGACTCAAACACACAAACCGCTAACTTATTATCATTATTCAAATGTCCAGTGAAAAATGATTCACCGCAGAGTCTGACCATGACATTTAAAGGCACAGATTAAAAACAGTGAAAGCTGGCCACAGGAACAAGAGATGAGAACTTGAAGGAACATGAAAGATAAAAGAATAATAATAATGATTTTTGCATTTGATCCAGTGCATTTCACGTCGGGAGGACCTGCAAATTTGGTTTAAAATAATACTGACTGCAGTTTACGTTCCCTTTGCTAAAATATGCAGTAAAAATCTGGACAGCAGAGAATAACTTGCAATTAATATTCCCTTTTTGTGTTGTACAAAGGAAAAAGACTCAAGATTCAGAAAGTGCTCCTGATCTCAGAGTCAACGTTTCATTTGCAAAAAATTAAAAAAAAACACTTCAGGATGGGGAGCATTCAGTTTTTCGCTGGTCACAGTGAATTGAAATGGATGTTACCATAATAAATAATAAAATATCATTACATTTGATCGAACACTTTTCATGTCAGGAGGACGTCTCAAACGTGCTTCAAAAGTGCAGTAAATGTGTTTCTATCTTACTCTAGGCAAAATAAAATGCAACCTGCAAAAATATCCTAAACCTCTATGTGATTGTAACATCATGTCGAATCGGTTTCTCCCCTATAACAATGTTTCGCGCACCAAATGTGATCTTAAAAGGTATAAATCTAAAAGCCCCAAAGCTGCATGACATCACACCACCACACGCCAGGATTCAAGGAACAAACTCTAGTGAGAAGCTGTTAGTAATAGGAGCAGTCAGTGAGGCGCAAGTTAGCCTCAACACCTATTCTTTTCAGATCCACCTGATCTGTGTCTCTGTCTGTCTCTCTCCAGCTCTCTTTCTGTCTCTTCTGTCTTTCTCTCTTTGATTCTGCTTTTCTGTCTTTCTCTCACTCTGTCAGACTTTCTCTCTCTCTCTCTCTCTCTCTCTCTCCCCCCCCCCCCCCCCCCTTCTCTTTTCGTGTCTATCTTTGTCTATTTCTCTCTGTTTGCCTCTCTCTCTCTCTCTCCCAGCCTCTGTGAATAAACAGCAGCCACAATATTGAACAATATTTTGAATTGGAACTATTTCGGTTGTATTTCTAACCTTGCAGGCGAGAGG